TTCTAAAAATAAAAAGCAAAATATTTCGCGCCTGTACGACAAAGTTTCACTGATATATTTAATTTCAAAATTTGGAGTTTTGCCGTTGTTTTAGGATTGCGTCGAGGAATCTATTAAAACAAAATAGAAAAATTCGAGGTCAATTTTCCACCTTGAATACCATTAAGTGGTATTCTTTTGTGGTTTACTAGTTGTAGCGTTTTAATATTTGTAATTTTATTACGTATAGTACATTAAAATAACTTTGACATAAATAATTTATAATTTTTCAAGCGCTAAAAATATGTTATTAATATTTTCATACAGGCTTGTTTCATAAAATAATAATTTAATAGTAATGGGAAAAAATTCAGTAAACTACAAAAAAATAGTTTTCGTTTTTACTTCCTTGTACGAAGTAAAGGAAGTACTGTAATAGCAAAAAATTCCAGGTATCATATTTCAACGGAAATACATAGTTTGACCGTTCCCAAATCCATTTAGACTATTTTTAGGGTGATATCTGTATGTACGAACAGAATAAAGAAATATTTTACCTAAAAAAGATTGTAAAATGGATTCAAAATGAATACAGATGGGTTTTCCCATGACGTCTGTACGTACATACGTATGCATCTATATCGCATAACCTAAAAATGATTACTCGGGGAATGTTAAATTTTTTATGTGGGACTGGTATAATATCTAGTTGTTCACCTCCCTATTTTTACTGCAATAGGCAGTACCAAACGTATATATATGGTTTCCTTTTTGAAAAAAAATAAGTATTATGAGGGAGGTGTCGTTCTGGATGGGGTCATAAAAGATTATCCTTTATACTGCAACAATAATTTATTAACAGGTTTAAGTTACACATGGACATTACATTTAACTTTTTAAGAAATTACAGAGCAAGAGTCTGATACAAAAAGTGTGGAAAAAGAGTGTCCAGCGTGGAAAAAGAAGTGTGTTAGAAAATTGGTTTCTCCAAGTTAAAGCAATTCTATGATGTTTTTTTTTTAAACGGCGATGTGTATACGGAAAGTAATGCCAAGCTGCTCTGCGATGGCGAGAATTCTGCAACTCTCTGGTGTTTTTATTGAATTAGAACAGGTCAGTGTGCACATGACAGGCAGTGCAGCGCAAGTTGCTTCTCAATGCAATACTGAGAATTCTGCAATTCTCTGAGCCTTTTTTTTTTTTTTTTTTTTTTTTTTTTTTTTTTATTCTGTTTTTGCTTTAAGTTGAAACAAGTGGCTGTGTACACGGACTAAGTTTTTACTGCGAAGGTTTTCTAGCATTTTTAATTTAATTAATTTGTCCCTGTTTTATGAAAAATGACTTTTGGTTGTGTTTGAAAAATTGACTGTTTGGACTGTTGGGTTTTTTTCCCATGACGTCTGTACGTACATACGTATGCATCTATATCGCATAACCTAAAAATGATTACTCGGGGAATGTTAAATTTTTTATGTGGGACTGGTATAATATCTAGTTGTTCACCTCCCTATTTTTACTGCAATAGGCAGTACCAAACGTATATATATGGTTTCCTTTTTGAAAAAAAATAAGTATTATGAGGGAGGTGTCGTTCTGGATGGGGTCATAAAAGATATCCTTTATACTGCAACAATAATTTATTAACAGGTTTAAGTTACACATGGACATTACATTTAACTTTTTAAGAAAATTACAGAGCAAGAGTCTGATACAAAAAGTGTGGAAAAAGAGTGTCCAGCGTGGAAAAAGAAGTGTGTTAGAAAATTGGTTTCTCCAAGTTAAAGCAATTCTATGATGTTTTTTTTAAACCGGTCGATGTGTATACGGAAAGTAATGCCAAGCTGCTCTGCGATGGCGAGAATTCTGCAACTCTCTGGTGTTTTTATTGAAATTAGAACAGGTCAGTGTGCACATGACAGGCAGTGCAGCGCAAGTTTGCTTCTCAATGCAATACTGAGAATTCTGCAATTCTCTGAGCCTTTTTTTTTTTTTTTTTTTTTTTTATTCTGTTTTGCTTTAAGTTGAAACAAGTGGCTGTGTACACGGACTAAGTTTTTACTGCGAATGTTTCTAGCATTTTTAATTTAATTAATTTGTCCCTGTTTTATGAAAAATTGACTGTTTGGTTACGAATACTTGTTTTACTGTTTCATTAAAGATGTTCTTTTAATTTCGTTAATTCGTTGCTGTTTTATGTAATTTTTACTCTGTCCTCATTTTGTTTTAATGGCTACTGTTTTTCACGTATCAGGCTGGTGAAAAAGTAGGCGATTTGAGGGGGGGGGACGCAGAGTGGATAGCGCAGGAATACCGAGTTCTGTCAGTAGCTGGGCATGATAATCATTTGTCTTGTAAATTGATTAATTTTAAGTTTTTGCTCATTAATAAACTGATAAACTTTATTGTTATAACATCACATCGCGCATACTCTTCCATAAGATCAGAAGTAAAAAAACAGAGAATATCGGAGGCAATAACGTAAACTATGACGAAATCCAACCAGGACAACAAACATTTACTTTTGAAAAATTATACAAACAGAGGCAAGAAGAATCAAAATTGCGGATACGTTCTATTGGACTCACTTTCGAACTGAAACATTATCTTATCACGGATTTGGTGAATCACCGTTATTTGTTAAGTAATGTCATACAATTTTGGTTTGGTTTGGTTTATGTATTACAGTAAAGCTTCGAGGGCTATCTGCCTAATGGAAGGGAGGCCTTCGTAGAGGACTTTCTATGGGAAACTAGTTCCCATACACGCTACACATGGGGAAGACCACGAAAACGCCCATGCAGTCAACATAGTTTGATAGGAATCGAACCTAGGACTGAACTACCAGTGTAAAGCGACTTTACCGCTCGGCCGCTGATGAGCCATAACGTGATCCGGAGCAGATGGAAATAGACTGTTACAGTTTGTCTTTGAATTTTTAAAAGGTAGAAATTGTATCAATATTTGTTTGTGTTTTATATATTCCACTGTTAAAAATATTATCAACGTAAAATAAAAATTTAATCTTTATTGAACCTTTAAAGGCAGCTGGATCTGTGAATGAAACAGCAACTGAGACGACAGTAATCAGAAAGCTCAATGCAATGATTCCTACTCATTTGCGGAAAGTATTAATACATCTTCCATTATGGAGATGGTAAAATATATGTTAGATGAAAAACAACAAAATAAATAGCTAAGATCCGAGTTTCGAATGACACGATTACTCAGCGTATGAGAGATTTAGCAGCTAATATAAAGAATGAACTTATTTTTTTCGTCTGAAATCACGCACATTTTCATTACAAGTATATGAATTTACCGATGCAGCTGGACTCGCGATTGTCACCGGTTAGGTATCAGCAAAAGATTGCATTGTTAGAGGATCGTCTGGTATGCAAATATCTACCAACAGGCACTAATTGAAGTATTTAGTCTTCCATTAAGAAAATAAAATACTCATTGATATCTGAACTGATGGACCAAATACCACGAGTGGCATAATTAGCGGGGCTGTGCAACTTATTAAAAATATCACCTAAAAAACTTCTTGTAGGTTCTGCATAATCCATAGCAGGCACGTTTGCTGCAAAACTTTTTTACCCCCGTTATAAGATTGCTGTAATAAAGTTGTGAAAAATCATTAACTTCATGAAAATCTCGCCTGCTAAATAATTCTTTATACAAAATAGTAGGTAAGAACACGGAGAGTATGCAAACGTCTTTCTTTTACCTAGTAAGCCAGATGGTTACCTTGAGGAAAGTTACTGTTCTCTATTTTTGAGCTATGGAGGAATTGCGTGCTTCTTTAACAAAATTTCGAATATTAAAGTGGTTGCTTAAATATGCTTATTTAAGCTACATGTTTACATAGATCAATGAACTTAATCTAATCATCAGAGCAAACAAATAAATATATTTACGTCTCACAAAAAAAAATCCTTGCTTTCAAGGAAAAAAAATAGAATTTTGGATAATTTGTGTGTGCTTCAATGACTCTGATTGCTTCTCAGCGATAAAAGACTTTTTAGAAGAGGAAGGAGTTGAAATAGGGAAATATTTATTGAAGAAATTGTTCAGCACTTTAAAACATTTGAATCAAGCTATCAGATATTTTATCCCTCCTTTCCGCATGCCTTCGTGGAGTAACTGGAAGTATACTCGACGCATATTTCAGAGATTCGACTTTCAAATCCTGGCGAGAGTATTGCTCATATTTCACATCACCTGCTTCAAAAAACCTGATGACTGTACAAAGCTTTTAATCATTATTTTCCATGCAAACAAGAGATTAAATATCAAAATGAAGTGTTGAATAAAAACGCATTTATTATTAGCGCACGATCTTTGACCATACCAGCCCAAAATATGAAACTTTCATTGAAATGATATCTGATTCGTCGTTCCAAAAAAAATAATTAATGCCGTTAATGGAATTATGGTGCAGTTAAAAAAAAATATCCTGAATTATCGCAGAAAGCCGTATTGGCACTTTACCATTTAACTAACTACATGTACGTCCGAAACGAGGTTCTCAGCTCACGTGCCAGCAAACAATAAATGCCACAACACACTTGATTCCGAACCTGACATGAGAATTCAACCTTTATCCATAAAAGCATGGGTGAAATGCTAATATTATTATAATAAATATTAAGTACATCTGCGATAATAAAAAGGGGTATCATCAATAAAAAGCACTCATCTCACTAAAATTTAAATGTTCGGTTTAAATATATTATTTTAAGTTATTTTAGTAATTTCTGTGTTAATTTTGAAATTATTAATTAAAAATTACTTTTTGAAGCAAATGAATTTTATATGAAATAATTGCCATTTTGCTACAAAAAATATATTAATAGAATGTTGCATTGAAACCATTCTATTGAAGCAAATTCGGGTTTCCAAGATAAAAGTATACATTAGAAAGTGTTTCACTTATTAATAAGGTTAAAAAACTGATATAAAGAGTTAAAAAATTGCTACTTTACATATGCTTATAAAAGACACCTCTTTTCTTCTAGATGACAAGCAGTACCACATCACAGTTGTTTTAAGCGTAGTCGTCGTTTGTCTTCTTGTGGGATCTGCAGCCCTTTTCAGGTAAATTACATTATCATTATCAATACCCTTTTAAATTTTTGCTGCACTATTTCTGTTTCAGTAATTAATATTTCTTAACTTTGTTCTGCAGCCTTCTACTTTTCGTTTGGCAAAACAATTCAACAATTTAATTGATGAGTTATATTTCCAAGTAGATTATCTTAGTCATCAAAATTCCCATATATTTAATACATGACTGAAATTATAATAGTAATGATTTCACTTTTTATAAATAATATTTTTATATCATTATTCTTATTTTTCTCAAAGTGTTACAAATTTCAATCATTATTTACATTATTAAAGTAGGTTCAAATTAATATCTGTTCTTTTCTCCTTTTTCTTAATATTAAATCTTAAATTCAAGATTTTTCTAATATTTAATTTAATCTTGCAATGGTTTTAAGATGTTCTGTTTTAAAAAATATTTATTTAAAATTTAGCCTATTTATTTAAGCAATGATAATAGAAATATATTTACAATAAATGTACTGAGAAAATATAAAAAAATAATGTCAAAGCGGAATCAGAGAGAATAAAATCTGCCATAACACATACTAAGGTTTCTGCTAGACTGGATTATTTAGTTTATGGCATATGAGGGCTGTTTGCTTGAAGAGAGTGCTTTTGTGGAGGACTTTGTAAAGGCTTGATCATTACACAAAGGAAAATCATTAACTATTCACATTGCACATAAAAAATACGTGTGGTGACATTTGGAAATAAGTGATTTGCTCTGGAACTAGAAGTTTAAGGAATATATTTTATTTTATTGGTTCCCGAAACGTAATGGCAAATTTCGCTTTAGTTAATTTGAAATCTATATGTGATCTTTCAATGCCATTGTCCTTTTCATGTGATGGGAGACACAATGTTCCCATGTAAGACATGTTCTATGAATAATACCCGTTTCGAATATAATATCTAAGAATATGAAAATTTTAATATGTCTTGTATAAAAGGCAGTAATATATTTTTGAATTATGCCTACTGAGCGCATATGTTCATTATTAAACAGAACTGTTTCACAAAAGTGTAGCAGAAGGAGCATTTCCTGTTCTATTTTCCAATATTCTACAAAGCTGTTTACCCTTGGGACAAGGAATAGCGAGTTTCAGAATTAGTATTAACTTGTCACTAGATTACTCCTACAATTCCGAAGTATATTTGAATGGCTTCTTTATGAAAATATTCATGTCCAGAAGGAAACCTCTTGATATCCCTCAGTATTACGTTATATGAGAGAATTTTCCAACAAGAAGTAAAGCCATTCTACAAAATGCACCGACAGCGCATTGAAATTTGAAACAGAAATTTGCTTCTCTGCATCTAGAATGAAAAACATATGCTGTTTTTTATCTCACGGAACACCGATTTTTGTCGCGAGACCCCCGGTGTTCAGTCCCCAAGCGAATTTGGTATTCATTTTATCGACCCACTCAGAAAATGAGTCGATCTTGTCCATCCCGAGGATCGAACCCCGGACCTGTGGTGGTGCGGTGCAACGCGCTAGCCACTGCGCCACCACTTTATAAGAGACAACTAAAACAATTAGATTTTATTTTTACTAAATTATGCAAACGCAATATTGAAATTGCTTCCAGAATATTCTGTATATCATTAAAAAATCTTTAATCGAAAGTCTATGTTTAGGATAAATATCTATAGATATACATCTTTCTGCTAGTCTATTCGAACTTCCCCTATCGAGACACATATTTGAATATTTCATTGTATTATGATGAAGGTCTAGTGACAATATTTTCTAAAACTTAATTTTGCGAAGAATAAAGACTTACGTTCATTAATCTTGCTTTTCATTGTTTTACATTTAAAAGAGGCAGTTGAGATGAATGTTGTCTGCTTTTGATGTCAAGTATGTTTAACAGCCTTTTCATCTTATTTCACCTCTCTTGTCTTAGGCTTTATCTTGCCATAGCACAACACTTCCTAAGAAAATATTTCAAAAGCTTAAGTATAACAATGCATTTTCGAGGAGAAATGTTACGAAGTATTTCGAAAGCTTAAATGTATTTTCGAGAAGAAATATTACAAAGTATTGCCAGTTGATGGCTGACAGTAAAGACATAATTCTGTTCTGTTAAGTTCTATGGAGTAATTATTGCTACAGTTTCGATGTAGTTTTGACTTGCGATTCTATAAAAAATGTTATTTACTTTATTTTAGTAATAAGTATAATTTATCTCTTACAAATAATTCGAAATAATCCAGATATGTGCTGTTATTTTCCTTTTAGTGACTAATACATGTTTTATCAATAGACTAAGTATAAAATTCAAGCTTTATTAATAATTTGTTTCATTAATATCTTGCTGAAAGGTATTTTTTTCGTTTACTGATTGGTAATTCACTTCATTGGATGTTTAAATGAAGGGGCTGCCTGCTAATAAAAGAAGATTATATCGCAATTTCGAGGTCATGCAGAGATAAAATCATTATATATACTCAGTAATATCGCCTAATAACATCGACAGAAGTTGCTGAATAGAACTGAAGGAGCTGGGAATAAAAAGGCCTGAAAGTAAAAGCAAACAAAAATGAAAGCTTAAAACAGTCAAAATTTAAAGACAAGTATCGTTCTAAAATTAGTGAGAGAATGCTTCTTTTACTCTGAATTACAGATAATACACTCGTGTGCAAAAATTAAGGACGAAGTCGAAAAATTAGCATATCAGCTGAAGAAGAGGCAGAGCGGACAGAAAGACCAATCAGGAGATTAAGTAAGGTAATGTACGGTAGCACATGCGCAGATATGCAAGTAGACGTAATGGGGGAGTGTCTGAGTAGTATAAAGCATGTTGTCGGTGTAAGATCAGTATTTCTGGCAAAGAGATTGCACGTCGTATAGCAGTTAAAATCACACCGAGTTGCTGCCTCAGCGAGAAATGGCGAATAATCATCTGTTAGGCGACATCTGGATGCTTTTACCCGAGGTCGAATCATTGGGAGTTGGAGGAAGGAAGGCCGCAGTGTGACAAGTGTGGCTGCAGAGTTCGGAATTGCTCACAGCATCGTTTTTCAACGACTTTGGAGACAATTTCAAACTACAGGAACAGCTATCCGGGGGTTTAGTAGTGGTCGTCCACGAGGAACCACAACCGCAGATGACCGGTATAATTGCCTTACAGGCCAGAAAAACAGGCGGCCAGACGGGAGAAATCGCTAGACACACGACACAGGCGACTGGACGACCGATTTCGCGTTTACTGTGGCAGAAGACTGCACGGTGGTGGTCTGTTTTGCACGACGCCCTGTGCGGTGGTGTACCTCTAAACGCCTGCCCATCGGAGAAGGCGTTCTCTGTGGTGGCCAGGGAACACCGGAAAGGAGAGACAATGAATGGGGACGATTACTCTTTACAGATGAGAGCAGATTCAGTCTGAGTAGCGATTCTCATCGCATATCATCTGGAGAGAGCGGGGAAAGCCGCAATCATCCCTCGACAATCATTGAAAGGGACAGGTATGGAGGTGGCGGTGTTCTCGTTTCGGTAGGCATCATGCTTGGTAGTCGTACAGACCTTCACATCTTCGACGCATGTTCAGTCAACGGGACCCGTTACTGTAACGAGATTCTTCTTCCATATGTGCGTCTTTTTAGAGGCGCTATGGGTCCGCAGTTCCTTTCATGGACGACAATGCACCATGTCATAGCACAGTAGCGCCGAACAGCTCGTTAGAGAGTGAGGATATTGAACGTATGGATTGGCCGGCACGATCTCCGGATCTCAATCCATCGAGCATGTATGGGATTTTTCTAGCAGAGCGTTGGCAGCTCGTAACCTTACCACCAGTAACGATTCCAGAGCTTCGATTGACGCTGCAAGACGAAGGGCAGCAATGCCTCAACAACTCATGACACCCTCATTCTCAGCATGGGCAGACGCTTGTGAAACCTGCCTAGCAGTCAGGGAAGATCATATCCCCTATTAAAGACCGGATGTTTCTTGCTGGATACCCATCACAGGGATTTGTCGGCCTTCAGTCGCATTGCGCTCCATGCTACCTTTTCAATAAAGCTTCTTTTTTCCCTCTGATTTCTCTTTTAGTAAGTGTTGCTACATTACTCATCCTTACGTTATTGGGGATCTTACAGTATTAAATGTGTTGATTTGGAAAGCTTTTGTACAAAGTTGTATTGAAAAAACCGTCTCGCCCTTAATTTTTGCACACCAGTGTATTACTCGGAACTATATCATCCGAAGAGAAGAATCTGATTGACATTTACACGTAGAGGCTCGCCATATAAGTGAAAATTACATTTCTCGAAAACAGTTAGTTTCATCATTTATTTATTTTATAATTATTACACCATATCTTTAAGGAAAAACTGAAACAAAACATATGAAGCTTCACTACTACATTGGACTACATGAGATTAGTTATAGTTTCCTGACTATAACTTAAACGTGAGGCCGTTTTACTGCCTAACTATCAAAAACTCAGTAAATTTAATTCAAAATTCCGTCTTAAATACTCTTAATTATAATACTGAATAATAACTGTAATTAAATGAATGAAGTAAAATGAAGTAAAAACTGTGCCCTTAGCATCCATGCGAATGACACCACTGTACACTGACACCCAAGTGCCAGAGAACGATTGGTTTTCATAATTTCTGCCTATGTGGGTTGTAACTGTTTTCTAAATGAAAATCGTCCAGAAAGGTATTCCCTGAAAAGAAACAAGATGTATATCTTTTTCCATAATCTAAATAAAAACAGGCAATATTTACTAATTTTTGCACCTTTCAATAAGTTTCGAAGATCCAAAGAAGTACGAACATACATGGGGCCACTGAATGCTAAAGATTCCTCTTTGTTATGTAAACCATTATAACTTTTCTAAATCCTATAAATATGTCGTTCAATCTGAATTTTTATTTATCATATAATGTTATGAGAAAGAGATTTTTGTAACACATCAAAATACTGTTTAAATTTGTAGGTATCTACTGAACTAATTTGAAATTTATATGGT